AAAAAGGTATAGGCTGGCTGTTTGTTTTTTACTTTTTTTATAGGTATAGGTTGGCTATTTGTTTTTTACTTTTTTTTATTTTAATTATTCTTTATTAAAAAAAATATTTTTAAGTTACATAGCAATTCAAAAAATACATACATACAATCATACAAAATACATCCGGTTGATATAGATAGATCTTGTTATATAAAAAGGATACTTTCATTAAAATATGACAATCAATCAGAAAAAAAAAAAGGTATAGGTTGGCTATTTGTTTTTTACTTTTTTTAATAGGTATAGGTTGGCTGTTTGTTTTTTACTTTTTTTAATAGGTATAGGCTGGCTGTTTTTTTTTTTTTTAACTTTTTTAATAGGTATATGTTAGCTGTTTGTGTGCATATCCATGCACACAAACATTCCACCAGAAATATCAGAAGTTGTTGTCTAAATCTTTTTATTTATTAATTTATATTGTTTTGGTTATGTAAAAGTGTTTATTCATTTACCTTTGCATTGCAGTTAATTGTAATGGAAAAGCTAAATTTCGGTATAAATTACTGCTCTGGAAAAAATTGCTAATTTGGACATAGTCATAGCTTGCCTAAAATGTGCCTTTTGGAATGTATTTATTTGAATAAAACCTCAAAGTCTTACTATAGTAATTTTTGCAAGTTAGATTTTTTTTCATTAGCATTTTAAATTAATATTCTATTTATTTTTCTTTTCTGTAACTGCATAGAGGTTACCTTTCAGTTTGTGCTGGTTTGGCAACTTTTGTGTATTTTTATTGGATTTTCTATTAATCATTGATTGTGAAATATCTTGTTTGCATAATGTAGCTGCAGCTGTCCTTGAATCTCAAATCTTTAAAAAAAAGTAAGTCTGTGTATACAGAATAATTTGATGTCTTATTGATTCTTAAAGATATACATGACTTTTAATGTGTGCTTTTTGCTCGCCTGTATTATATAATAATTTAGCTATAGAAGATTAGGATTCCATCTAACTTTGCATTATTAAATATACAGTGATGGTGTATGTAATCTATTACTTAGAATTCTTCAAGCCACTTGTTTTATTATTTAAAAGACGTACTTGGGAAACAAATAAGAAGAATGGTGGCCGTTGTCATGCCAGACAAAGCAGATTTTTATTAATGGATGAGAAAATTACTCATGCAAACTATTTATTTGAACAACCAATATCGTCTCCAAATGAGATATCAGAGTTGCCAGCGTTGAATGCATAATGCATGCATAACCAGTTTTTTAACCTGACCTTGGCAAATGGCTTAGCCAAGTTTTTAGTGGTCACATCTATTTTTTAGCTGGACTGTAGGCTGATAAAAAGACTGTTTAAGACTGCCACGTGCTAAAGGCCATGGGTCCCAACCCACAAATTCTAAGGCGCATACATTATATAGTTAAAGCTAATAACATGTAATTAAAGGAACAGCACAGACTATATTGGTACACTAGTAGATGTACACTGTTTTGTTTTGTCCATGATTCAAATTTCCAAAAGAAGAAATTATTGATAGAAAAAAAATAGGATTTATGGTTAGGGGACAGACACTAAGTATTGATTTTATTCACAGATCACGTGAGATGTGACCAATTGAAATTTTACCAAAATCATTGCATGAATTACATTTTTAAAAACTGAAATGCCACACAAATTCATTTCAAACCACCACAACAATTTTTTTAATTTTTTTTGGACTTCTCAATTCAGACAAACAGAATTTTAATTCCATACGTAAGTCTACTCTGTGGAAGAATCATGATCCATATCAAGTGGTGTGGACAGTTTTCATTTAAATTGTACTGGTTTCAAAGAATTTGGCATCAGTGCATAAGAAGTCCATGAGCACACATTACACATGAATTCTTCAAAAGGTCTTATTTAAACAACATACATATAGAGTTATTGATATATTAGATTGCTCCTGTGCCCTCAACAATTGTACTTAACTCGCATCACATATCTACGAGGAAATACAATTCTCCATTTTGTATTGGTATCATACTGGACAGTGTAAAATAAAATCCAAATACATTTTCCGTTCTCAGCAGGGGCATTGCTGGGGTAAAAAAAAACCCACCTAGGTCTTGAGCTTAAAAAGCCCCATCCCTGGCCCTGCCAAATTACCCTACTTAACACACCTCTTGGCACACTAACAGTTACTTACAAACATGAACAGAGACACAGACCAGCAGACAAAGACATGCACAGGCCCACACATGCTCAGACAGGCACTGACACCCAGACATACACAGAAAGGCATGCACAGGCACCAACAGGTTTACACAGGCACAGACAGACAGACACAAACAGGCACATATAGACATGCACATTCACATACATAAATACAAACAGACACAGAAACAGACAGGCAAAGACAGAAACCTGTACACACAGACAAAGAAGCACACACAGACACACATAGACAAACACAGACAAGCACACATATTCGCACATGTTTACTTTTACACAATAAAAAATGATTACTCTGTACCTTGGTTGAGAGAAAGGCAGGTGCCAGGTGGCCAGTCACAGTTTCAGCAGGGCCTGGAAAGTCTTATGTAGGGAGAGCACTCAGGCAGTATGCCACCAGCCATGCACTTCACTGGACTACTACTCAGTCTCCTCACCTACCATTGCTCACAGGCAATAGTGTACATTAATGTAACTTCTAGCTAAGAGTTGCTAGTTTCTACAGCTTTCTAGATTAAACTTTTAACATGACCTAACACTTTAACTTTATGTTTATGTTCTACTAGATACAGTTCGTTTTTGGGTTGTGAAAAATACTTATTTTAAAGGGGAATTACTATTTGAAAGAGACACTAGCCACCACATTTACTGTTTCATCTGGAGTGCTTGTGGTAAAAAATAGTTGAGTGCCAAGATTTGGCGCCATTGGTCTATGGTTAATCATGATCTCTAGCATGTTAAACTAAAGAGGACATTGTGAATTTATCTCAGCGCAATGTTATTAGGTTGCTCATTTGACCTTTCTGTATCCCTGGGATAAATAAAATATAGTATTAAAGTTTGGAGTGGTGAGTTCCATTAAGTGGAATGGGTAATGTTAATACAAAATAATTAATGCTTTATGGGTCAGTGCGAACGTAAGCAAAACAGTTGTATTGTTTTACATAACAGTAAATTTAATTAAAGTAAGTTTATATTGGAAGGTGTGTTAGATAAAAGTGAACTTAATTTAAGTAAGTATACATTGGAAATATATAAAAGGATACCTTTTGAACAAATTACTCAATTTTGCTACTAACGCTAAGATGTATTGCATCTGACAGACTGCCCTGTGATGCAAAAGCTAACCAGGAAGTAATTACGATGGATTTGAACCTTTTGGCTCTAGGATCTGTTTTTGTTAAGTAAATAATTGGTATATGTTTTAAGATAGAATTGAGGAAATATTCCCTTCACTCCGCCAAAGATCTACTCTTGTCCTCTGTTTGATCTACCTCTGTTGATTCTCACCTACAGCACTTATCTAGGGATACACTTTTTCTATTGAATGCTTTGTTAGACTTTTTTATCTAGCCTTCTCATCATCAACAGTTCTCACATCCATTAAATAAAACCCATGCTTCCACAGTCTACTCAACTCTTTCTCTCCTTCCACTCTACATTGCCTCCACTAGCTACTGACACATAATTAGCTAAACACATAGCTTGTCAACGTGTAACCTTTTCCTTCCATCTGTGCCACTCAGTGCAAATCTTGAGGTAGAGAAGCCTAATGAGCAGATAAGACCTTATGTGAGGGGGCAGAGCCTAATGCTGCACACTTTTCCAATCCACCTCTTTGCACCCACACATGATTGGTCCTGTATACACAGGTATCATATCCATCATTCTCTCCTCCCCTCTGACATGTTTTGTGTTACTTTCCCTTATAAATGATAATAATGAACAAAAACACATATAGCGTGTTAAGAAAAAGGTTGACTACAGGTGCTCAAAAAGTACCACGACTGCCTCATCATCAAGATGCAGTAGAAGGAAAAGCAGGCTCAAAAGTCAATAAAATACTAAATCAAAAGTAAAACTCTTCACAAGCACATTAAAATCAAGATAATATTTAGCGATACTAGTTCACGGTTTCATGACATTTATAAACACTTTGCCTTCTGCAAATTCACAAGGTCTTTAATAAAGTTATGTTGCAAGCTGTTTTTTTTCTCAGCCACAGAGATAAAAGATTACTAAGGAAAACCAACATGATGAACGTTGCACATATACATGTTTTTTTTAGGACACTCCCTATAACCTTCACGCTCAGTATGATTTATATTGCACCACATGACTTGTGATAGAACTTCTTGCTTTGTTAAAAAGGCTGGAAAGAACTGCAGGGGTGTCAAACTTGCCTCAGGCCTGTAAAACTGTAATCTTTAATTAGCGCGACTACATAATGATCCTAAATAACCTAGTTAGCATAATATGAATATAACAAGACAGAAATTGTGACCTTTTTGACTTTAGTCATATTTGTCCCTTTTAGAGGACAGATACCTCTGGTCAACAACTTCTGAGATAGACACATCACCTGGTAGTTCTGGGATTTGTTAAGGTATCACAAAATATATCTCATCCACCAGGAAGGTCTAATAAATACTTATAAAAACAATTTAAAATGTTTCTAAAAAAATGCTAAAATACCAATTTACATATGCACTTGAGTACAATCCTAGAATAGTCAGTGCTACATCAATTTTTGTCAACTTTGCAAATCGGGAATCAAAAAACGACCATGTTATGGTAACGCAATTGCCTTTAGTGCTAAAGTGTATATGCATGTAAATACAAAGGAAGAACTGGTCTCTTTAGAAGAAAGATAATATTGCAAGGCTTTATTTGGATTCAAATGAAATACAATGACCTTACAGTCATAAAAACACAGGAAAAATGAGAGCGCATCAACTAGAATATGCTGTGTGTACACAAAGTGCTACAATAGTGATTTATTTGAAGGACGTACAAAGGAGCAGCAATCATTTCAGGGTTCAATCCTTCAACAGTGGGCATTTGCATTGATGAAGGACTGAACCCCGAAATGTTTGCTGTACCTTTGTATGTCCTTCAAATAAATCACTATTGTAGCACTTTGTATACACAGTATATAATAATTGTGCGGCTCTTATTTTTTCCTATATTTTGCATTCTGTATTGTACCCCTGATAAAGCAACAGAGGCTGGAGTTGACAGCAGCACAGAGGTACCTTTTGTTAAATATTTTTTCAGGCTTGTTTAAAACCTAGAGAAACAGAAAGGGGGTGAAGCGCCAGATATGTCTTTAAAATATGTGGGATGATAGAGAAAAAACTAATAGTGCAGAATGTAAAATACAATTGGAAAAGTGTAATAAAAATAATTTACTCACGCTTTTTAGGAGCTTAAGTTCAGCTCTGACTTTTGCACTTGGGCAGAATGATTTTCTCATCGGTATATAAAATTGAATCATTGAAGAGGATTTAGTGTCGTATGTCAGACCGAAGTATAACATAAAACAGGGTGAGAAATGTGCACTCACATATTTTGGATCCAGACCGTCCCCAAATAGAGCGTGGAGCGGTATAATCCCCACTCTTGGATTTACACAATGGTAGTGTTTCTCCATATATAAATAAAGAAAAGAAGAAAACCACAATAGTGTATAACTGGGAGGTTGAAGTGAAAATATTAAATAGATAAAAGGTGTACTCACATATAGCGGAGCAAAGTAAGGTTTGCTCAATCCAAAAGACGTAGGTGGTTTAGTGTCCCTACCAAGAATCTAGGTGTTCATGAATCCAGTAGCAATCAGTATGGTCTGATAAAAAAGTAAATTTTATTTACACTTTTGATAAAGCCAGTTTGTTGGTGAAATGCGTAAGTGTATTTATAAGTGTATTTTATAATATTTTAATCCTTGGCCAGATTTGCGGTGTGATACTGTGTTATACTTAATTTATTTATACCTGCCTCATACTTGTCCCTATTGGATATATTTTTTTTTAAATAATATATTAAATAAAAATATTTCACATTTTTATTTCTTCGTGGAATTCAAGTTCTTCACAGGAAGTTTATCGAGAGCCTGGATAGGCACCCAAGGGCGATATACACAGAGCCTATTAGGCTCCAGCCTTGTGAGTTTATTCCTCATATATTTTATACATTGTGTATTTGTTTATATGGAAAACACTATGTGTATTTTATTTGTTTTACAGGTGTAATTACTATACCCATATGTGTTATAGGTGGTATATCTACATACTGTAATTTTTAGTGTGTGTGAATCCTTTTATTCTTTTACTCTGTTTCTTAGGTGTTAAGGGATTACACCTTTTTCACACTCACTTTGATTGGTTTATTTAATATTTGAAGCGCCTACACAACTTATTGTATTTATTGTTTATAATATTTTATTCCAGTTTATTTTATTATTATTTTATTGTTACATCCTTTTGTTTTTATAAATAAAAAGTACTTTTTTATCGGACCATACTGATTGCTGCTGGATTCACAAACACTGAGATCCTTGGTGGGGACACTAAACCACCTGCGCCTTTTGGATTGAGCAAACTTTACTTTGCTCTGCTACATGTGAGTATGCCTTTCATCTATTTAATATTTTCACTCCAACCTCACAGTTATAAACTTTTGTGGTTTTCTTCTTTTTTATATTTATGCTGGCTCCTGCTTTTGCTTCCTGCTTCCTGCCTCCTGGCTCTGGTCAACCCCTCCCTGGACTAAGGTAAGACTCAGGGAGGGGGGAATACACTTTAATTTTTTTTTATCCCCCTCCTCACTCCGTGTCCCCCTTCCTCAGTCCCTGTCCCCTTCCTCAGCCCTGTCCCTTTCCTCAGCCCTGTCCCCTTACTCAGCACTAGGCCCATTGACCAGCCCCTGTCCTATTGTTCAACCACTGCCCCTTTGCTCAGTCCCTGTCCCTTTGCTCAGCCCCTGTCCCTTTATTCAGCCCCAGTCCCCCTTCCTCAGCCCCTGTCCCCCTTCCTTAGCCCCTGACCCCCTTACTCAGCCCCTGTCCCCTTGCTCAGCCCCTGTTCTACTGCTCAGCCCCTATCTCCCTTCCCCTGTCCCCATTTCTTAGCCCCTGTCCCCTTACTCAGCCCCTGTCCCCTTGCTCAGCCCCTATCCCCTTCCCCTGTCCCTTTCCTTAGCCCTGTCCCCTTCCTTAACCCATTTCCCCCTTCCTCAGCCCCTGTTCCTTTCTTCAGCCCTGTCCCTCTATTCGGCCCCTGTCCCCATACTCTACTCAGCCCCTGTCCCCTTCCTCAGCCCCTGTCCCTTTCCTCAGCCCTGTCCCTGTCTTCAGCCCCTGTCCCCCTCACCTGTCCCTCTCACCTCTGCCCCTTACTCAGCCCATGTCCCTTCTCGAGCCCTCCTCTGCTCAGCCCTTATCTCCTTCCCCTGACCCCATTCCTTAGCCACTGCCCCCTTTACTCAGCCCCTGTCCCCTTGCTCAGCACCTGTCGCCCTTCCCCTGTCCCCTTCCTTAGCCCTGTCCCCTTCCTTAACCCGTTTCCCCCTTCCTCAGCCCCGTTCCTTTCTTCAGCCCTGTCCCCCTACTCGGCCCTTGTCCCCATACTCTACTCAGCCCCTGTCCCCTTTCCTCAGTCCCTGTCCCCCTTCCTCAGCCCCTGTCCCTTTCCTCAGCCCTGTCCCTGTCTTCAGCCCTGTCCCCCTACTCAGTACCTGTCCCACTACTCAGCCCCTGTCCCCTTTCCTCAGCCCCTGTCCCCCTTCCTCAGCCCCTGTCCCTACCTCAGCCCCTATCCCCTTCCTCAGCCCCTATCCCCTTCCTTAGTCCTTGTCCCCTTCCTCAGCCCCTGTCCTCCTTCCTCAGCTCCTGTCCCCCTTCCTCAGCCCTGTCCCCTCACTCATCCCCTGTTCCCTTGCTTATTCCCTGTCCCCTTGCTCAACTCTGCCCCTTTGCTCTCCCCCAGTCCCCTTGCTCAGCACCTGTTCCTTTGTTCAGCCTCTGTCTCCTTGCTCAGCCCTATCCCCCTTCCACCAGCCCTTTGTTCAGCCCCTATCCCCTTCCTCAGCCCCTGTCCTTTTCCTCAGCCCTGTCTTTAGCCCTGTCCTCCTACTCAGTACCTGTCCCCTTTCTTCAGCCCCTCTCCCCCTTCATGAGCCCCTGCCCCCCTTCCTCAGCCTCTGTCCCCTTCCTCAGCCCCTATCCCCTTCCTTAGCCCCTGCCCCCCTTCCTCAGGCCTGTGCCCTTGCTCATCCCCTGTCCCCTTGCTCAGCTCTGTCCATTTGCTCAGCCCCAGTCACCTTGCTCAGCCCCTGTCCCTTTGTTCAGCCCCTGTTCCTTTGCTCAGCCTCTGTCCCCTTGCACAGCCCTATTCCCCTTCCACCAGCCCTTTCCTCAGCCCTTATTCCCTTCCTCAGCCCCTGTTCCCCTTCCTCAGCCCCGTCCCTCCTTCTCAGCCCCTGTCCCCAGCTCAGCCCCTGTCCCACCCTCAGCTACTGCCCCCCTTCCTCAGCCCCATGTCCCACCACCACAGCCGACATAACATCACCACTACAGCTCCTCTCCCCCAATTGCAACCCATATTACCCACACCACAGCCCCTTTCCTATACTGTAGCCATCAACGTACTTCAGCCCCTATCCCCTCACTAGAAACATAGAAACATAGAATGTGACGGCAGATCTGAACCATTCGGCCCATCTAGTCTGCCCAATTTTCTATATACTTTCATTAGTCCCTAGCCTTATCTTATAGTTAGGATAGCCTTATGCCTATCCCACACATGCTTAAACTCCTTTATTGTGTTAACCTCTACCACTTCAGATGGAAGGCTATGCATGCATCCACTACTCTCTCAGTAAAGTAATACTTCCTGATATTATTTTTAAACTTTGGCCCCTCTAATTTAAGACTATGTCCTCTTGTTGTGGAAGTTTTTCTTCTTTTATTGTCTCCTCCTTTACTGTGTTGATTTTATTTATGTATTTAAATGTTTCTATCATAGCCCCCCTATCTCGTCTTTCCTCCAAGCTATACATGTTAAGATCCTTTAACCTTTCCTGGTAAGTTTTATCCTGCAATCCATGAACCAGTTTAGTAGCCCTTCTCTGAAATCTCTCTAAAGTATCAATATCCTTCTGAAGATACGGTCTCCAGTACTGTGTACAATACTCCAAGTGAGGTCTCACCAGTGTTCTGTACAATGGCATGAGCACTTCCCTCTTTCTACTGATAATACCACTCCCTATTCAACCAAGCATTCTGCTAGCATTTCCTGCTGCTCTATTACATTGTCTGCCTACCTTTAAGTCATCAGAAATAATCACCCCTAAATCCCTTTCCTCAGATGTCGCGATTAGGACTCTATCAAATATTCTGTACTCTGCCCTTGGGTTTTACGTCCAAGATGCATTATCTTGCACTTATCCACATTAAATGTCAGTTTCCACTACATTTCCTAACCCCCAATTACAGCTCATACCCTCCACTACAGCCCCTGTCCCCCCACTACAGCATCTAGACCCCTACTACATGCCCTAACTTTTCAATTACAACCACTACAACCCATTACCAGTGCTATTCCCAAGATTAGGCTCTGGATCCGCCCATGCTCTGTATGCCTGTATCTGTATGACTATAAGCCTGTGTATGTATGTCTTTGTATGCCTGTGTCTGTATTAGAATGTCTGAATGTCTCTGTTTGTGTCTGTATGTCTGTGTTTGTATGACATTGTACCTGTATGTGTAGATTGTATGGCTGTGTGCCAGTATTTGTCTGATTGTGCACCTGCATATCTCTGTGACTGAGTGCCTGTATGGTTGTGTGTTGCAATATATCTATGTCTATATCACATGGAAAGATACACAAAATGTGCTGATGGGAAAGAGCCACAGAAAGGGGCTGAGGGGAGAAAGAGACACACAAAAAGAATGGGGGGGGGGGGGACACAAAGAAGCTGGGGAAAGAATTAGGTACCTGAGAATGTCTCTGTGTTTGTCAGTATGCCTATGTGTGTGTCAGTATGTCTGTGTGTGTGCCAGTATGTCTGTCTGTGTGTGTCAGTATGTCTGTGTGTGTGCCAG